CATCAACCCTCCATGCTGGGCGTCGGCGCGGACCGCTCGCGGCGGCCTGCGCGCACACAGGCCTCGCTCTCCTCTCGAAGCCAACGCCGAGCGGCTGCCCGACGGTGCCGTCCCCGACAACTCGGTCGACTCTACACCGTCGCCTTTGGCATCCGCAACTTCACCAACATCCCCGCCGCCCTCGCCGAGGCCCGGCGCGTCCTCAAGCCCGGCGGCGTCTTTGCCTGCCTCGAGTTCAGCAAGGTCGACAAGCACCCGCTGCTCAACTTTGCCTACAAGCGCTGGAGCTTCTCCGCCATTCCCCTCATCGGCCAGCTCGTCGCCGGCGACCGCGACAGCTACCAGTACCTCGTCGAGAGCATAGAGCGCTTCCCCTCCCAGGAGGAGTTCCGCGACATGATTGTCGCCGCCGGCTTCGAGGTGGCCGGCGACGGCTACGAGGACCTCACGGGCGGCATTGCTGCCATTCACAAGGGCATGAAGCCGCTCTGAGGGCCGGGCAGTGTTGTGGGCCTGTTTTGGGGGCGGGGAATCAATGAGGGGATGTCGGACAGCGAGAGGAGGGGGCTGTCCTTCTTGTACCAACATGTTGCATTATTGTATACAGGCGGGGATCGTCTGCCATTGATACGGGGGTATGCCGTCAGAGTATGCGTAGACGAATGATAGAAGCACTCTGAGTCGCCCACAGGTCGTGCTGTTCTTTTGTGCGAGTGACTCTCCAAGATGCAGGTCTCGAAAGCATGCTCTTGGGTCAGTATTTAAATGACCATTTCCTTGACCAAAACCTATACGAGTAGATCTAGGCTGGTGGTACGGGCCGCCGTGACGAAACGAGAGACATGAGTATGCCGCGGTACCTGAATTGCGGATGCCGTCCGTTAAGGCACCAAACACTACCTAGGGGAGGAAATGCTCTTCGTACTTCCAGGCCTTCATTCAGCGATGTGAAATAGGAAAATAGCTTGCGGCCAACAGCTCATCATCTCACAGGAGCTCGTCATCTTCCGTGTATCGAGTAAACGATGACAAGACACGCCTGGCTAATGAAACTTGTCTAGCAGTGCGCGCATCACCAGCGAACGCAAAACATCCACCAAAGTAATCAATGTCACACAGCACAAACACAGCCATCATATTTCAAATCCTTTTGTCGATTCCGCAACGTCGAAAACTCCTGCCCGGGCTAGACTAGGCTAACCTGGCTAACTCCTCCAAACCTCCCCGGGCCTTCATTAAGGCGGTATGCGTACAAGAATTGGTAGCAGTGAACGGGCCCATCCGGCCCTTTCCTTTCCCCTCTTTTGCTCGCCGTAGCACAAAAAAAAAAAAAAAAGACTGCCGTCAAACGAACCCGCAGGCTCGTAAGCAGACTGGTAAGGGCACAAGAATGAGCCCCGTGTCTATGTATGGGCAAAGACGAAACTTGATGGGAGACTGGACCCTGCGGACACGTCTCCATGGCATGGGTGACAGGTTGGGTAAAACTGCCCTAAAGCCATTTGCCCCCCATCTCTGCCCGACAACCTCCGTCCTGGTCCGTCCCCCGTTTCTTCGTCGTGATACCTGCTTCCTCACTAACCCTGAAATAATGCTTACTCGGCAGGCGTGACAGAAGTCGGGGCGGGGGAAGAGCCACCGCCCTCACCCTTGAAGCGCCGCGATCAAGTCCACGGACGCGCTAGCAGACACGGACGACGGCGCGTCCTCCACGTCCACCACGGCGGTTGCTCTCGGAATCACTAGCTCCCACCTGCGCTGCGGTAACCACTACCCGTGTTGGCAGAACCGGCACCGCCGCGGCTGCTTCCCCAGCTACCAGCACCGCCGCGCGGGGCAAACTTGCTCTCGCGGTGGATAAAGATCTTCACCAGAGGGCGCGAGCGGTCCTCTTGGGCACGCGTCTTCAGGTCCTCAGGTAGACTGTTGAGGGCGGCGTCACGGTCCTCGGCGCTGGCGAACTGCACGACCTTGTTCGAGTTGCCCCACTTCTCAATCTTGGTGATCTTGCCCCTGTACTCAGGGTCGAAGAGCTCCTTCGTCTGCTCCTCCGAGTTGACGTTCATGACGAAGAGACCAATGATATCCTGCGCGGGGGTCTTGGGCGCAGGCGACGACACGGGCTCCGGTCCGTTCGTCGATCCGTTGGCAGCCGCCGGGGCGGCGGGCTTCTCCTGTTCCTTGGCGGGACCGGAGGGGGCGGCGGCCGGCTGAGGAGTGCCGGGCTTCGGTGCGGCGGCGGGCGTAGCCACTGTTGGCTTGCTGGCGGCCTGCGAAGGCTGGCGGCTGGTGGGGGGAGGGGCGGTGCTCTGGGTCGCGGGAGGGGCAGGCATAGCGTTGGAGACAGACTGAGGAGCAGCAAGGGCGGCGCCGGGCTGCTGCTTCGCACCCCTATGGGAGAAGTTGAAGCCTTGTGCGCGCATCTCCGTTCCGATCCTTCCGTCCTGGATCTCGAGGACAAGCCAGCCAAAGGCAGCGTCCGCCAGGTTGAAGTTCCACATGTTCTTGAAAGCGCTCTCATCGACCTGTCCCAGCTGAGCCTGGCCTTGGACGGGGCCGCCGAAGGGATTGCCACCGGCAGCAGTCGAGGGCATCTTCTCAACGATAGCCAGAGCGTTCTTAAGGAGGTTCTGTTGGGCTTCGTTTTGAGAAATAGCAGGCTCCACCTCGCTCTTGACCGTCTCCCACACGTCGTTGAAGGACGCCTTGGAGGCAGCCAGCTTGCCGCGATAGTGATCGAGGGTCGGGTTGACGCTGAACTCGTTGTAGGAGCTTCCGTAACGGAAATGCAGACCGGCGGAGATGGAGAAATCGGCCTTCAGTGTGACGGACAGCTGGTTCAGGATACCCTCGCGCGCAGGCGAGGCGTGGGTGACGAAGACGCGCGTCTCAGTCGGGTCATAGACGCGGTGAGCAGTGTCGACGAGCTCGCCCATCTGCAGGAGCGTGGTCCACATGGTACCTTGACCACCGGCGATCGTCGTCCGTCCCTCGCCGTTGTCGAAGAGCTTGTGCATAACGACGGCGCCACCGAGACCAAGGAGACGCAGCTTGACACCTCCGAGCTCGAGCAGCATGGACCGAGCCTCATCTATGATGTGCAGGTTGTTGACCTTGTACTCGCCGGACCGGAACTTTTCCAACACCCTGACATCTTCGCACGCGCCCCAGACGGTGTAGACGGGCACATCGAGCTTGATATCGCCGCTCAGCAGGAGAGAGAGCTCGGAGAGGGGAAGGTCGCTGGGCGCAAAGCGGCTCTTGACGGAACCGGGGCCGCCTTGTTGGATCGACTTTTTGATGGGCTCTGGAATCAGCGGAGAGTACTGGGCGACGTGCTTGAGGGTCCTAGAGGGTGGGCAGGTCAGCATGGTCTGCGAAGGGGAGGTGGCTAGAGCACGTCGGGAAGGAGGGCCTGGCGTACTTCTCTGCGATCCGTTCCAGGGAGGTATCATCGTAGAAACCAAAGTCACCCGTGTGGATGATGTGGTCGGCGCGGGCAGATTTGGCAAGCTCGTTCAGGGAGTTGAGGTTGCCTAATGAAAAGTCAACACAGGGTCATCGAAAGCGCTTGGTCGTGAAGCTAGCATACCTCGGACATCGGCAATGCAGAGAACTCTGATGGGACCGGTCTGGATGACACGGCCCTGGTTGGGGAGAAGGGGGGCGGCGCCGTTGGGGGTGAAGCCCGGGTTGTTGAACTGACGCGGCTGCATGGTATCACTGTCGTCAGTCTTTGCCAGCTCCAAGGGTGTACGACGCAAGAGCCAGGTCGCGGCTTGCTCGAGATGGACTTACGGCGGCCATGCTCTCTCTGTCTCTCTCTCCTCTTTGTGTAGACGGGGGCAGTCGCGGTGGCGATCGGGTGCGGGAGGGTCCAGCTGAGGCGAGCTTCGTCTGGAAAGGTTCGTATGGGGAGCAAAAGGGCTCGAAGATGCGCGATGGAGGTCGGAGGAACTTGGGTATCAATGGAGCTGACGGTGGGAGATGAAGAAGACGATGGGACTGTTTGCGACAAAGTAGAATCAAGAGATGGTCCCCTGGTAAGGCTATTGATTTTTGCTTGGTGGTCGGGTTCGGTTCGGGGGGGGGGGTTGGTTCCAGTGCAGGCACGGTAAGGTACCCGTTAGAAAAAGCTCCTGCCAGTCAACCTTCTGGAGGGATACGACTGGATTGGCGCGTGGGTTCGTGGCTTCAAGGGGACTGCTCCCCCGAAACGGCTTAGACTGTTATGGCCGGTGTCCAGCTGGCGAGGCAGGGGAGCATGTTGGGGTCATGACCATCGGCAGCTGCTTATGTAAACACGTCCGTCTTTCTGTCCCCTGTCTCGGAATGTCAACGCCTGGCTTGGCTTGTTTGACTTTCTACGCCAGTTTCAACCTCCATCCAGCGTCCTGGCTCACCATTCACTGCAACTTGGCCCCCCCCAAGGCTGTCAAGCTAAGACCGCTGGCTGAAGACTATACTCACAATACATCATGCTTATGCTCGATCATCTATCATCCAAAATTCATGTAATTCTTGCACGAGCTCCAACCCATCCCTGAACCCCGGGCCGCTATGCTGTGTACATGAGGTGCTGCTCTCGACAGGTTCTTCTCTAAACGCAGAGAGCCCGGCCGAGATATTAAGGAAAGATACAGACCTGCCTGACGAGGAGAGAGATAGAGAGAGGGAGAGAGAGAGAGAGAGGGAAAATGAAAAGTAATACCGAAAGAAATGAAATGAAGGGCCCCCCTCCAAAAAAAAGACTGAGAATGGGACGACCCCTGACCCATGGCTTGCATCCTCCCAGGCGCTGACAGGCCCTCCGAACTCCAGCCCATATGCACAACCTCGCCGCTTGGGCAAAAATCTATACACATTCGCTTGTTGCCCTTCCGCTAGCTCCCAACATGGTCCATATCGCTGCTAGCTCACCACATGTCGTCTCGACCGTCACTGTGTCGCCCTCGGCCGTCACCGTTCGCACCGCTGCCTTGGTCGTACTGGTCATAGTACTCCTTGCCGTGCGTTCCACCGTACTCATCGCCGTAGCTGTTGTCGTTGCCTTGACCTTGCTTTTGACCGCCGCCGCCGCCATGTTCGTACTCGTAAATTTGCGCGTCATCCACATAATCTACACCATCATGCGAGTTACTGTCGCCGTACTGAGAGGCACCCTGAAAGCTTGTTAGTATGCCATTCACACAGAGGAAAGGGGCAGTTCTTCACCTACCCGGTGGTAGTCAAAGTTGTACTGGTCGAGGGCGTCTTGATCCGACTCCTCTTGTTGCTGTTGTTGCAACTGCTGCTGGGCGAGGTACTGCTCCTCCTGCTCTTTGCGACGGCGCTCTTCTTCAAGGCGTCTTTGCTGCGGCGACTGAGGAACCTGCGCCTGCGGGTGCATGGCCTGGACGATGGCGAGGTAGTTATACATGAAGTTGCTGAGCAGGACCTGGCTGGATAGCGAGCGGCGCGGGTTGGCCAGCTTGATGTGCGCCATGCGGTAAATCGCCCTTTCTTCCAGCAACGGGAATCGGGTCCAGTGGTAGTCGACGTCGGGTCGGAGCGGGCGATAGATCGGGTCTTCGGAGACGCGTAGGTGATGGCCCTTTTTGCTGCTGGACTCCTTCTCGCCCTTCTTCTTGCCGCCGCCAAAGAGACCTGAGAACAACCCACCGCCCTCTTTCTCCTTCTTCGCCGGATCTGACTTTCGACTGCTTTCCTTTTTTCTTTCTTCGGCTAACTTGCTGTCAACATTGTCCCGATCAAGCAGCAGGCTCTCGCGACCCTTGGTAACCGCACTTTCAATAGAGTTTTGCAAAACGTCCAGTCGCACGTTGTCCTGAGCCTTCTCGACAAAGGTTTTGCTTTTCTTCTTTTCCTCGTCCCTCTTCTTTTTCTCCTTGTCGTCGCCGCTCCCCTTGAGCCACTTGGACCAGGACTTCGAGGTGGATCCGCTGCTGCTTTCGTCGTCCTTGTCCTTCTTTGACTTCCTGTCGGCTTTTCGATCATCTGCTGCCAGCGTTGGAATAAACGTGAGGCTGTCAGTTCTGGTGGCGCCGCCGCCCGGCAGAGGGGATGGATTGTGCGCCATGTCATTGAGGCTGTTGTTCGGGTTGTTACCATGCTGCTGCTGCTGTTTCGGCTGCTGTTGTGATTGTTGGTGCTGCTGCTGCTGCTGCTGCTGTTGCAAGGTGAGAGACCCTGAGCTGGATTGTGGTGAGCGAACCATGCCCGGACGCTTTGACGACCGTGCCGGTGGCTCGTCTGGAACTCCCTGCTGAGATGAAGTAGTCCTCTGCGGATATTGTCTCTGGCCGCCTTGATCGTCTTCCAGGGCTGAGGGTTCGATAATTTGTGGTACGGACGAGGTTGAGGTAGTACGAGCCGGAGCATCATCCTGGAAGCTGCGCACATTTGACGTGGTGTCGTATGTCTCGGACGATGGCGGCTCGCCCCCAGTAAGTGCGGAATAGGCATCCTCCTGAGGAGAATTCTGTTGACGTCGCGCTGGCCTGCCAGGCCGGGAAAAGTTCTCGGAGATGGGCTCAGACTGGACTCTGGAGAGGAGATGGCTTTGGGGACATCCTCGAGGGGCACAGCAGGCTGGCTTCTGGCTGCTGTTGAGCCTCGGACTGGTTTTGTCGACTGGCGGACGTCCGCTTGTTGAGAGAATGTCGCTCGCCTGATCTCAAGCTACCGCCC